ACCCCCAACCTATTTTTATGCACCTGTGTCAGTTTCATTAAAATATTTGCAGAATTGAAAACTTGCGACTTAATGTTTGAGCCTTTCAGTCTCTGCTCCAAAGACACACACTGATGGCGGGGAGTCAAATAGAGGCCAGGTGAGTCAATCTGTAGTATATTCCTCCAGATGCCCGTGGTAGGTGTACAATTCAATGGCCATGTCCTATATAATCTACCCACTCAGTTCCTCAGTATGCACATGCATTTGCCTCTAACTTCATTTGTTCCAAGCCAACATTTTTAGTCAGCATCCCATAATCAACTTATGAAAAGAAAAGTGTTGTTATTTAGGCTCACAGTTTGGGAGCTTTTGGTACATGATTAGTTGGCCTTGTTGCTTTGGGGCCTATGACAAAGCAGAACATCATAGCAGGGAGTCCATGGCAGCGTGAAATCACTCACTTCATGGATGGGAAGTGAGAGAGAGGGGAAGGGGCCAGGGTCCCACCATCTCTTCCAATGGCACACCTCCAACTCCCCAACTTCCTCCCACTAGACCCCACCTCTCCAATGTCCCACCACCTCCCAATATTGCCAAGCTAGAGATCAAGCCTTTGTGGGATATTTAAGACCAAACTGCAGCACCAACATTGGGTTCAGATTTCAGTCCCCAATCCAGCAAATTAGTCTTGAGCCATCACACTGAATCCAGAAACTCTGTGACATGTGAATTAGTTGTGCCTGATCTAGGGTTATAGTCCTGCCACCTGGTCTAGCACGCCGATAAACCAGTCCCTCACAAACTCCTTGGGTTTCTGCATATATATAATAGAAAAATCAAGTGCAACTTGTTATTATCTTCTGGGGTGTGCTGGGATCTGAATCTGCTTATAATTGATTAAGAAGCAAAGAAACATGGTAATAGTGAAAGGACCTGAGGAAAGTTGGTGAGTTATTACTTCAAATAAAGGAATTAGGTTGTTTTCAAACAAACCCCATCTAAACTCATCAGCAAAAGGGAGCTGCTTCTACTGACAAGGGAGGTTATGAGGAACCAGGATTTAGAGTTCTCAAATCCAACTGAATACACATCCACCAATAATAAAATTCACAGGGTTTCTTCTAAATCAATCCTCTAATGCTCACTTTTAAAATATGGCAAAATGTGAATTCAACTTATAGTGTAACTTAGTGACCCCTTGGATCAGATTCTATGTGATTTGTGGCTGCGTGAGTCCTGACCTAAGGCCACGGGAGATAAAAGATAATCTTAGAGTCATCATGGAAGTTCCCTGGTTCTCTGAACTTTTTGAAGCTGATAATGTAAAAACCTGAGCTTATCATTTTTCTTTAATCTCTCCAGAGCTATCTCCTTAGCCATCCCATCTTACAACCCTTCCAATTTCTTATTTTTAGTCTAATGATTTATCACAGCAACCACTTTGCCAAAATCTAAACCTCACATCTTTCCAGGAAGCTATAAGTGATCATTTAAATCATTTAAATGGCTGTTTTTGTCACTGTGTCCTATTTCCTTTTTTTTTTCAGAGTCAGAAATAGAAATTATATTAAAAATCTAAGAACTTTAAAATCCTGGAGGTGCATGAATGGGCAGGAGAGAGCAACACACCTCTATTGCCACCACGGATTAGAGAAGCTTAACTGGGACTGTCACTGCACAAAGGGCACACAGAATAGACAGCACTGCGGGGATCTGGGGAAGAAGCTCTGCTCCAGAAAGGGAATGATGGGGCACGTGGGCTGGGGCCACCTGGCCCATGAACAAAAACAGCTTGTCTGAGAACACTTGACCTTTAGCCTGGTGCAAGGAAGCAAAGAGGATATTGTGCAGGGTCCCTTTCCCCAGAAAGTCCCATTTTCTAATGGTAACAGGATTGCCATTATCTAAGGCCTACGAATCAGGTTAGATAACCCACACAAAGTTTCTTGTAAGTCTGTTATCTGAAATCTCTTCCAGAAGGAACAAAAAAGAAAACACCCTAGATTGGAGGAGAGGTTAAGAAAAAAAAAAAAAAGGATTTCTGCCAGGGAATGACATATTGATAGCATCATTCTAAAGTCTGCAGAAGTAGGAGTCTGAGATGAGGATCACCCCACTGTGATTGCAAGTTCAACATCAAGTTGAAATTTACCAGAATGTGCTTCTAAATTGCTTGATTTCCTTCTTTTTGCACATTGCATCCACCATTTTTTTGTTAAATCTGTGCACTATGGAGCTGAAGCCCGGAGCCTACACAGGAGGCAGTAACTACCCCCACTACCAATAGGTACTGGGGGAAGCTAGCTTTTACAAATTTCAAGTCTCATGTGACTGCCTCCAACTGGTAGAGGTCTATCAATTATAAGAACCCTCGTTGCGTGGGATCTGGAAAATATAGATTTAAGTTACTAATTTCCAAAGAAGAAAGCATTGTTAACTGAAGGTAGAATGGAAGAAGAATTAACCCAGAAAATCCACCATAGTCTCAAGAAGTTAGTCTCTATTTAGCTATCTATGCTCAGTCTTTCAAATGTCCTCTTCCCTCCTCCTGATTCTCAGCCTATGATATCATCCACTTATGTTATGAGTCAGATATGGCACCTGGAACTGGTTCCTGGATGCTTGATGGCTGGTATTTGCTCTTTTCTTGGTTGTTGTCCTTTGTTCACCTCATTACTGGTGGCCTGCCAAAGACCCACGCTGAAGTTTATGTTTGGTAAACTTGAGGTCCATTCATCATTTCCCTCTGAATTGAGATATCATACTACTTTGCTGCTTTTGTTCAACTTGAGATCTTCTATAGTAAAGAAGTTTTGAAACCCATGAGGAATGCAAAAGAAAGGGGAATGTTATAACTGCACTGTTTAAATAATCTATCTTCTAATTTTTCACTTTTAGTAGGACTGCTACCAAGACATTTGATTTTACAAGTGTAGATAGCATTTATGTTAAGATTCCTTCACTTTCCCAAAGGAAATTTTCATGGAGGTCTGAAAGAGCAGCGGAAAAATAGGAAAATAGTCTGCAAAAAAGAGGGAAATCATGCACTTTATAAGCAAACTCTGGTAAATTTAACCTTTCTCATTTGTGCGGTTGGATAGACTGTGGGGACTATTCACAAATCCAGATAATTTATGGAGTAACAAGTTTATATGGGAAAAGATAATGAGTTCCATTCTGGAAGTGTGAGGTTTGAGGTACCTGAGGTAACCTGTGTATGTGTTAGAAAGTAGAAAAAAGTGTGGACTAGAGACATAACTTGAAAATCTGCTGATCAGAGTAGAAACCATGGGTACCCAGGAAGTCAATTGTATCAAATCCATGTAACAAAATAGGTTTGTAATATCTGAATTCAAGTCTCAGGTATAAATTATACAAAAATGATTCAACGCAGACTCCCTGTATGCTAGTTACCAACTTGTCTGACTCCAAGAAGATAAAACATCTACGCATGTTACATGGAGCAAATTTTCTACATAGAAATAGGTAGCAAGGGACAAAGACGCCTGAGGTTCGTAGTGAGCTGGGAAAGCTGCCCACAGTATGAATTGCTGACTACACCTGCCCTACATGTACCAGGGCTGAGGGACCCTGGGAGGCAACTGCTCTAGTTATGTATCTCGGGGGCAACCTGACTCCCAGGGAAAAGCTTTGAAGACATCCCATTTCTAGGGAAGGGAGGAACATAGCCTTGACTGTCCCAGGAAGTTACTGCCTAACTCAAGGTGTCAACACTCCCTACAAGGATAGGAAAAAGGATTGGGCTGTTTCAGGCAATTCCTCCCTATCTCAGGATGTTGCACTTCCAGAATATTCTATACTTTTCCTTGAAAACTGCAGCAAAAAAAAAAAAAAAAGAGGAGAAAACTGGATGGGTACAAGGCCAATAACTCTACTGTACTGTATATAAGAGAAATAATTTCTAAAAGCAGTGCCAGATTTAATAATTACAGAAATAGGACAAATTTGCAGAATCAATCTCTCTATCTATTGATCTCTATCTGTCTGTCTGTCTTTACTCTTCTTAAAGAGTCACTGCAGCCACGCACTGTGTTACACACCTGTAGTCACAGCAGCTTAGCATCTTGGAAGGCCAAGACAGGAGGATGGCAAGTTCAAAGCCAGCTTTCGCAAATTATCGAGGCCCTAAGCAACTTAGTGAGATCCTGTTTCAAAATCTGTTTAAAAAAGGAAAGGGAATGGTGCTGGGGATGTGGTTTTATATTTAAGTTTCAATCCCCAATACCAAAAAAAAAAAAAAAAAAAAAAAGTCATGGCATTTGGAAAATAATTTTAAAGCTCTACAGAGGATCCCATTCAAATCCCCACCAGGAAGATAGAGATTTGTTCCATACAGAAAGAGCTCCATAGAAGCTGCTTCCTACATCTCCATTTCATCACATGATTAGTTTCATTGTCTCTTATGTTTAAAAACAATTAAAAGATCATAAAATTCTTTAAAAAATTCTCTTCTTTCCCTCGCCTTGTAGCTTCCTGTTAGTTAGCTTTTTATAACAAATGCCTGAGATAAATCAACTTAAAAAGAGGAAACATAACATTTTAGCTCATAGCTTCAGAGGTTTCAGTCTGTGACTAGTTGGCCCCACTGCTTTGGGCAATTGCTTTCTTTGATTTTTAAATATGATCATCATGGCCACCCACCCATGTTTATTTATCTCCAATGTCGATTTTAATGATTGAAGAAGATTTAGAGAAACAATTAAAATGCTAAAAGCAGTGTGCCATATTCTGGTATGCCTAAAATTCTGCTTGTTCAAGTATGGCCCAAGTATTACTTGTGGCAGAATCACTACAGAGCTTGTTAGACACCACAAGCCCATCCCAGCACCCCATAGGGATCCAGAAATCCACATTGGTAGGTTTCTAGATGATGCTTTTCTCGCTTAGTTTGAGACTTGCCAGCTTATTTTAAGGACCTATTTTCCCCCAGCACACCAGAATATACCTGTTTTGTTCTATTCTTAATTTCCTGATCTTTCCTCCCTACCTGCCCCCAGGAGACAACAATGGATGGTCTCTGCAATTCGACAAATATTTTGGCAACCACAATGAAATGACCTCCTCATATTCCTTTGAGACAAAAACATCTGAATGCTGTAAGTAATCAGAGTAACTGAGCCTCCTTTTCCGTAAACTCTTTATAAGACACGAAACTTTTAAAAGTTGGATTCTATGTATAATTTTATGAAAAGGTTATTTGCAATTTTCCAGTTTCACACTTTATTAGGGATGCATCCTAAATTTGGAAATTCTGTTTTAAAATAAACTCATGGAATCTTAAGGATGAAAGTCATCAATCATGTCAGGTATTGTGAGTAAAATTAATGTCGGTCAAGGTTACTATTTTATGTAATTTCCCTTTCACCATCACTATAAAACCTGATGCAAAGGAAACAGAAAATAGAAAAGCAAAGAAGCTGTTTGATTTTAATGGCTGCAAGTGAAAAATCTTCTGGCGTCTAAGCTGTATTTCAGAGCTATGAAAACCTATTAATTATAACCTCTGTTTAGTCAATATTTCAAAAACTCACAAAAACACCAGAGAGGATGTAGAAGGCTATAAACTTGAGGATTGATTCTATAACGCTTTATATCATGAAAATAATTCCTTTTAAATATTTTTTTTCTATTTTAATAAATTATGCAAATGAAGGTCTGTGCCTTCGATCTGCAATTTTGACCTCAGTTTTTCAAAATCTTGATTAAGAAGGAGGGTTGAACCAGGTGGCAGATTTCCTTAATCCCAGCTACTCAGGAGGCTGAAGCAGGAGGATCTAAAGTTCAAAACCAGCCTCTGCAACTTGGCCAGACTCAAAATGAAATAAAAATAAAAAGGGCTAGGGTGTTGCTTGATAGTAGAGCATCACCCGGGTTCAATCCCCAGCATTGAGAGCAGATAACAAGCATTAGGAGGGGAATCCCTTATGGTCTACCACAAATTATAAAGCCTAGATTTTCAAATTTTCAATATCTTTTGTCTTCACTATCCAAATGAGATAAAATACTAACAGTCCTGAATTAAAGGAGATAACCTTCCCTGGGAATCTCCTGTGTTACTCATCAATCTACCTTAGCATCCCTGAACCTGCCTCCAAGAGGATGGAGACCAAATAATTTCATCATTAAAAAGCTAAAAGCACGGGGCAGGGTGGTGCACACCTGTAATCCCAGCAGCTCGGGAGGCTGAGACAGGAGGATCTCGAGTTTAAAACCAGCCTCAGCAAAATCGAGGGGCTAAGCAACTCAGTGAGACTCTGTCTCTAAATACAATACAAAATAGGGCTGAGGATGTATGTAAGCAAAAATAACCAACACGGTTTGGGCACCATTAGGAAGGCACAAATAACCAGGACAGAAGCAGACTTCAACTGGATCAAGAAGCTTTCCTTTATTCGAAGCGGAGTCCATCAATCAGATTTTCTCATTTTCTGGGTAGAAAATTAGCCCACGGGTTACAGAAGGAGTCTGAGTTTTATAGTCTACAATGAGGGTGAATTAGTCATTGGAAATTGTGAATGTGCATGTGCGGATGGGACAGTCAGGGAACTAGTTGTGCAGTTTAAAACTTTAACTCAGAAAGCTGTTGTCAAAAGTGAAACGCACTGTTAGTGGAAGGAGACAGGAGCTCAGATCCCACCCACTGCTTTTCTTCTTCCTCTGGGATTCATTGTTTCCCAGAGTTTACTGTGCCTTCCTTCAGGACTTATTGGCAATAGGGGAAGGTCAAAGTTTAGGACCCAGCCTTTCAGGATCCACCTCCTCCCTGCATTGTGGTTGGGAAGGGGTGAATGTTTGCTTTTTCCCATTGTTATTGGGAAAGGATTTACTGGGGGAGGTTAATGCTTGGCTAGTTTCCTTTCCCTCCTCCTGGAGCTGCACTATCTTTCAGTTTTTTTCTTCAGGGACTTTCAGGATCCACCTCCTCCCTGCATTGTGGTTGGGAAGGGGTGAATGTTTGCTTTTTCCCATTGTTATTGGGAAAGGATTTACTGGGAGAGGTGTAATATTTGGCTAATTTCCCTCCGTCCTCCTGAGCCACACTGTCTTTCTGTTTTTTTCCTGGGGGCTATCTTGTAGGAATATTATTTTTCCATAACCCTTCAATGTGGCTCAGTTGTCCAGTGCACCTGGATTTAATCCCCAGTACCCATCACCTCCCCCACAATAAAGTTATAAGCTTTTGTGTATGTATATTTTGTTCTGGAGATTGAACCCAGGGATGATTTTACCACTAAGCAACACCACAAGCCTTTTGAGAGAGGATCTTGCTAAATTATTTAGAGCCTCACAAAATTGCTGCAGTAGCCTTCAAATTTGCCATCTTGCAGCTTCAGCCTCCCAGTTGCTGGGAATGTGCCACTAGCCCAGCTAAGAGATGAGATTTTAGCAAAGGAAAGAGTTAACAGGTATAATTGAACAACTAATATTATGCCAAAAAGTAATAATGACAAATTAAGCTATGTTATCTTAAAATGCATTTTTTCTTTTATTATTTTGTTTTCATTTCTTAAATTTTAATTGAATCTTTTTATATCTCATGTGATTCCCAAGAAAATTTTCAGCAACTTACAATTAAAGTATGGCTATCCATATTTTATTTTATTAAATATAGATATTCTACCACTGAGAAAGCTTAGCAACCACACACAAAGCTTAGTTCTGAATATTGTAGTCATTAAGTCAAAGAGGAAAAATAACAGGTTATATAATTCACATAGTCTCATTTGTAAAGGAAAAACAAAGGGGAAAAAAACAGACCAAGTCAGCAAGAGAAATAAGTTTTTACCTGATCTTGCACTCTGGAAGAAAATTTGTCACAAGTACAATTACAAAAGAACCTAAACTCCTGTACACAATAAATATAATATAAACACATAATTTTTCATTAGAGTCCTCTTGAGACAATTTGGGGAATTGCAATCAATAATTAAATATCTTTTTTCACATTCAAACATGGTAAATAAAATGAAATGAAAAGTGATGAATAATATCTGGGGGTGAAACTTAAATTAAGGTTCCTAATTGTGCCACTTTCTTTAAATCAGATTATTATAGAGACTTACTGGAAATTAAACTGAAGATGGCTTATAATCGTTTTGGCTAAATGAAAGAATGTGAAGAATCCACATTTTAAAAATCACTCCTCAAGATCAATATCATGGAAAATAATAATACCTATGATTAACCAATATACTGTCTAAAGTTTAAATTTGAAAGATTTGGAAAACATTTTTTACCGACCATAATTTTACCACTTAGAGGCTATTATCATCATTTTCTGGTACATTACTTGTCTTTTTTTTTTTTTTAACTTTGTTGAAATAAAATTTCAAATAATTTCCTGTACCAATCAGTTTTATCATATTTTCAATTGGCATTTTAGCATAATTAGCTATTCATGTTATTATAAGCTCTTGGGAAATAATATATGTAATGTTATTTTTAAGTGACATAATTTACTTATTCTTTTGTCATTGAATATTTTTTTTCATTTTTCCCTATTACAGATAACCCTGTACTTAAGATATGTATTATCTTAATTCAGTCTATATATATATATGGAAAAAACACTACAATGAATGCTGGTTTCATTGCCTTATTTTTTGATATTCTATTCACTCCTTCTCAGGACTTGCATCTTCCTCCCCAGCCTTCACCATCCCACTCTCACAACATAAACATGCACTCACATGGTAGATAGGATTTAACTTAGACAGCCATCCATGGCCAAAATGGGTACTCCAACTATAAAGGTGTTTAATAAGAGTTTTCAGCAGATACATAATCAGTGAAACTAGGTTATGATCCTAAACGCCTGTAACCCTGGAAAGAGTCTCTGCAGTTACTCAGGAGGAGATGAAGAACACCTGTCATCACACGTACCTGAGCAAACAGGCACTTTCCAAGTTCAAAGCCTATAGCCAGCTGTGCTCGCTAATCCTTCACAGGAGCCTCTGCTTCATATTTGAGACACTTGCCTACTCTCTGGAAGCTTTACTTTCCAGATCAGAAACTGGAAATTTACAAGCAGATAATTTCTCATAGAAAGTTTTGTTTTTCCTAGGATGTTTTAAATTAACTATTATCATGTTTAAATGGGTAATTATATATAAAACATTGTATTTCTGGCTTCTTTGCAAATGTTGGTAGATTTGGCTGCACTCATTCCTAGTGTAAGTTGGAAACAGGAGAAATCAACCCATTTGGACATCCAGACACTACTTTGCCTGATCATGATAGATATTTGAGTCCATAGCAACTGCTAAAAAGCTTAAGGCTCTAGAAGTAAATGCATATGGGAAGTATTCCTCATTGCTCTCAGTCATTGTCCATTCCCCATCACGGCAGGAATCAGACTATATTTATTACACTGAACAATAATCCTATCATACTATATAAAAACAGCATTATGAGGCTCTAATAGACTTCAGATACATTGAATCATATCCTTAAGCCTCAAGCCCCACAGATAGCCAAAGGGGTGTATCTCTTTCTTTCTTATCCCAACACCCAAAAGAGTAAAAATAGGATGACTGTGCAGAAAAAAAAAAAAAAGTCCACTCACATAAATGAAGATAGAGATCCATCATCTCTACATAGGCCAAAGAAGCATTCTTTTTTAAAAATCTATTGAAAAGGGAGGGGCTGGGGTTGTGGCTCAGCGGTGGAGTGCTCGCTGGCACATGCAAGGCGCTGGGTTCAGTCCTCAGCACCATATAAAATAAATACATAAAAATAAAGGTACTGTGTCCAACTACCACTAAAAAATATATTTTAAAAATTTCATTGTTTAAAACAAAAATCTATTGAAGAATTCCTGAATCTTCCAGGAAAAAAAAATCTAACCACACTAATCATTTAGTGTTTAATTCTCCTCTTCCTTGTTGGTTAAAAGTGACTTAGTCCTATAAAAGTTTTGATGATGCTATAAATAAGTACTTCCTTCTTAAATGGAATCTTACACGAACATCAAAACCCAACACAATATATCACATTTTCCTTGGGTGACATAGGAACATGATTTCATTCATTTTGCAATAAATGGAAAAGAACATTATTCTATTTTTAAAAAATGGGTGGGTTGGTAAGTGTGTATGTTTCCAAATGCTAATGTTCTAGCATCCTTTCAAAGATAAACTAAAAGTCAACTTTGGAACCTTAATTTAAAGCATTGCTCAGGTAAGACATGACGTACTCTTGTACCAAGTAATTCTTTTCATTGCCCTCCTCTTCCTGGTCCCCCACTTTCATCACCCCTTATCACTTCCTCTTTGTTCAGTGCTTGGTTCTGTGCCTGGGCATTGTTTTTGCGGAGGACTACAGCTTGACTGTGATGAAGCCAATTTACGAGCTGTTCCATCAGTTTCTTCAAATGTGACTATAATGTAAGTAGAAAAGAATGGCTCATCCTTACAGCCAGAACAGTACCTGCAAAACTGTATCATAATTAAGACGTGTCATTATTAAAATTATTCAAAGATGATGTCATTGTTTCCTAGGTCAGTTATGATTGTTCATGTTTATTTTGCATTTATTAGATGCTAGATCCCACCTTAAATTATCCCATCTTGGGCTGGGGTTGTGGTTCAGTGATAGAGCGCTTGCCTAGCACATGTGAGGCACTGGGTTCAATTCCTAGAACCACATAAATAAATAAGCAAAGGCATTGTTGTCCATCTACAACTAAAAATATTTTTTAAATTATCCCAACTTATTTAATTCCATGAAATATTTAAATTCACCATATTTTATCTAAATGAAAGATGTCATCAACTGCATGTGCTACTAAAGGGGGAAAAAGGCACTTTTTTATTATACCACTATATAGGGCTTTCTTTTATTTTGTTTGTTTGTTTGTTTGTTTGTTTGTTTTGAAACAGTATCTCAATAAGTTGCTTAGAGCCTTACTAAATTGCTGAGGCTGGCCTGGAACTTGCAATCCTCCTGCCTCAGCCTCCCAAGCTGCTGGGATTTCAGGCATGTGCCACCACATCTGACTTTTACATAGAGTTTTTACTTGAAACTTATTCAAAGACCTCTTTTAGAATTTCTTAGACATAAGTTTTAATATACTCTCAGATACAAATAAAAACAAGCAAAAAACTTATGTGTGTATAAAAGATCACTCTCATAATAAATGGTCTGTTGATTTCTAGTACTTGTGGTTCTAAGTTTCTGGTAGTACTAATTTGAATTCAACCAGACCTCAGCAACAGAAACACATGCATTTGGCTGAGATTTTTAAAAAGAAATCAATGGGAGATGGATATTTTAAATCAATATTTTTACTGAATTTTTTCATCCAGATGTTTTGATGCCTTCTGGCTCTGACTTTTGGGTGAAAGGGGACAAAATGTGAGTTTACAAAGTTGGCAAGTCTTGCCTTTCTCAAACCAAACTGTTTATTCAACTCAAATGATTGACATATAAGGAATGGAAGAGCCACGGTGCGGAGGTCTTATAAAGGGTGATATCAGTCATAAAAAATGGGGATTTGGCCAGGAAGTGGGGAGATAGCAACCTGAGAACGTGAACTGAAAACACCAGGAGGTTAAACCACAAAAACTTGTTTTCCAAAGAAACCAACATTCTCACTGAACTAAGGAAAGAGAAAAGCTCTCCAACATTCTGTTCTCTCCTTGCCTCCGCACCACTCTTTTTCATAGTAATTAGTCCTACTTTACAAAAAAAAAAAGATGACTTCCCCAAAGAAACTGAGGTCCTGTGGAGAGTTTCTGTAATTTAAATCTTAACTGGAAATGCAGGGTATAAGAATTTACAACTTCATCCTATCCTCAGAGGAAAAAAAAAATCATTATCACCCTCACTGCTTAATATCAAATTATTAGAAAATCCAAATCAAAGAATATCCCAATGCTGCCAATATTGGTTTTTATTTTCCCCCCAAGAAAGATTTGAATCCATTCTTCAACAATTCAACTAATGTTTATAAACGAAACAGAAGAAGAAAACTGAGAAATGGAGTGGGGTGAGGCAACTTCCTAGAAAGAGCATGCCCACCCAAAGGGTGCATAATTCAGTTGAATTCATTCTGATTCAATTTTTTTAAACTGTTCTGGCCCAATACATAACACACATACATAAAGAGATGTGTGTCAGTCTTTGACCTGCCAGTTTTCAACCCCAGTATTAAATACATTAGAACCAGATCTTTGTGAATGCTTATCTACCAGAAGGCAAGGAAGAAGGCAGGATCAACACTGATTTCAAGTTTCCCATGCCCAATAATTGAGAATGGGAAGGCATGGTTGCCATAAATGGGGATAATTAGGACTCTAATGTCACATTTATTTTTTAATTTGAGATAAACATTGGAAATTCTGGGAAGATACAGGAATAATGCTCAGGAGTATATATCTACAGCAATCTTATGCTGTGGGTATAGCTTGACAGTACAGTACTTGCCTACATGCACAATGCTCTGAGTGCAATCCACAGCACTGGGAGTGGGGGGGGGATATATGGTACTTTGTACTTTGGGTTGAACCACTTGAATCCAGTTGTCCATTTATACTTTTCTCTGCAGAACACTGGCTCAGCTTCATACCTTGCCCAGTCTGCTAGTTCAATTCCCTAAGGAAAAAGAACTCTTCGCTTTACAGCAAATACATTAAAAAAACTAAATATCAAATTTCATTACTGAGTTAGTTCCAGATTTTAAGTTGGAACTCTTGGAGGAAAATGTCAAAAGGAACTAAATCATATATAAGTAAAGTATCAAAGAAGCCTATAATCCAAGGAGCATTTACTGAAGTTGGGACTTATTGAAAGTGTTTCACATAAATGCTAAAGAAAAACACATATGAGACAGACAAGCAGATAGATATGAATATTTATACATTGTTCTAGCTTTCTAAACATTAACTTTGTTTGAGAATTGACTTTAAGATCCTAGAATTTGGCCTGAGGCTGTAGCTCAGTAGCAGTGTGCTTGCCTAGCATGTGTAAGGGACAAGGATGTATCCTTAGCACCACATAAAAATAAACAAAGGCATTCTGTCCACCTATAATTACAAAAAAAAATTTAAAAGATCCTAAAATTTAATCACTAAAACTACATCTACAATCCTAAGAGCTGTCTTTATAAAGACCAAAGCTAGCTTTGATAATGACAAAACTAGTCAGTTTCTCTGTCATACACAATATATATACATATATGCATGTGTATATATATATATATATGAATACATGTGCATGAATATGTACATATACATACTCATATATATGCCTTTGTGAAAAGTCAAATGTATAATATCAATTTTTTAGTATAATGATCTATTATATTTTAAAAGTACTTTATTTTATTTTATTTTATTTTATCTTTTTTTTGATGCTGGGGATTGAACCCAGGGACTCACACATGCCAGCCAAGCACTTTACCACTGAACCACAACCCCAACGCTTAAAAGTATTTTGGTTTGTTCTCATCAAAGAAAATAGAATCTACTTGTTTCCATTTCAATAGGATATTATCAAAATATAAGTAATACTATTTGTTAGAATATTTGGTATTTAGAAAGGCATAACCTATAAATTGTAGATATTCTTGATTAATATGGTGACATACTTTCTAAGAAATATTACTTAGGAGTTCTCAAATGAATTTCCCTTTCCTCTTCAGAAGCCCTCCCTAGCTCCCTGTGTAGGTACAAGTAGCCTCTTCCTCTTGAGTCCTCTCATAAAAGTTCATTTGCATCTCTTTTTTATTTTTTTAATTGCTTTAATTAGTTACACATGACAGTAGAATGCACTTATGAACTTTGATATATCATACATAGATGGGATAGAATTTCTCATTTTTTTGAGTGTACATATTGCAGAATTATATTGGTCATGTAGTAACATAAATACATACAGTAATAATGTCTGTTTCATTCTACTATCTTTCCTATTCCCACATCCCCTTCCCTCCCCTCCCATCACTTCCATCTACCTAATCTAAGTAATGCTATTCTTCCCTAGTGCCCCCTGCCTTATTGTGAATTAGTATCCACATATTAGAGAAAATATTTGGCCTTTGGTTCTGTGGGATTGGCTTATTTCACTAGCATGATATTCTCCAACTCCAACTATTTACTGGCAAATGCCATAATTTTACTCTTCTTTAAAGCTGAGTAGTATTCCATTAAGTATATGTACCACATTTTCTTCATCCATTCATCTGTTGAGGGACACCTATTGTGAAGTGAGCCTGCTATAAACATTGATGTGGCTGCGTCACTATAGTATGCTGATTTTAAGTCCTTTGGGTATAAACCAAGGAGTGGGATAGCTGGGTCAAATAGTAGTTTCATTTCTAGTTTTCTGAGGAGTCTCCATACTGCTTTCCATAGTGGTTGCACCAATTTTCAGTCCCACCAGCAATGTATGATATACCTTTGTCACCACATCCTCACCATTCTAACAGGAGTGAGATGAAATCTTAGAGTAGTTTAGATTTGCATTTCTCTAATTGCTAGAGATGTTGAACACTTTTTTATATATCTATTGATCAATTGTATTTTTTCTTCTATGAAGTATCTGTTCAGTTCCTTAGCCCATTTATTGATTTGGTTACTTGGTTTTTTGGTGTTAAGTTTTTTGAGTTCTTTATATGTCCTAGAGATTAATGCTTTATCAGAAGTGCATGTGGTAAAGATTTTTCTCCCAATCTGTAGGCTGTCTCCTCACATTATTAATTGTTGCCTTTGCTGAGAAGAAGTTTTTTAATTTGAATCCATCCCATTTATTGATTCTTGATTTTTACTTCATGTGCTTTAGGAGTCTTGTTAAGGAAGTTAGATCCTAGGCCAACATGGTGAAGATTTGGGCCTATTTTTTCTTCTATTAGGCACAGGGTCTTGCATCTCTTTTAGTTATGTTAAACATGCTTCCTTAGTCTTGGGATTCTCTTTTTTTTTCTTTTCTTCAATTCTAATTTGTTATATGACAGTAGAATGCATTGCAAATCATGTTACACATATAGAGCACAATTTTTCATATCTCTGGTTGTATACAAAGTATATTCACACCATTCATGTCTTCATACATGTACTTAGGGTAATGATGTCCATCTCATTCCACCATCTTTTTTACCACCATGCTCTCTCCCTTCCCCTCCCATCTCTTTGCCCTATTTAGAGTTTGTCTATTCCTCCCATGCTCCCCCTCCCAACCACACTATGAATCAGCCTCCTATATTAGAGGAAAAATCCAGCATTTGGTTTGTTAGAATTATCTAACTTCACTTAGCACCATATTCTCCAACTCCATTCATTTACCTACAAATGTCATGATTCTATTATCTTTTATTGCAGAGGAATATTCCATTGTGTATATATACCACATTTTCTTTATCCATTCATCTACTGAAGGGCATCTAGGT